GTCGGACGCGTCCACGGCGGCGGCGCTTTCTAGCCCAAGGCGCGCTGGCGCGCGCTACAACCCCGCCAGGGCGACGAGGGGGGCAAGATGAGGAGGAGAAGGAGACGAGATGAGGAGGATGATGAGGAGGAGGAGAATAGGTCAGGGGAAGGACGCGGAGAGGGGAGGGGGAGAAGACGAGATGATGATAAGAGAAGAGGGGGAGTCAAGCATAATAATATCCAAATGAGGAGTAACGAATAATGATATCCAAACAATACCAAAACAATGAAGCCAAAGAGGTGACGGTCAACATACCCACCAGCCGCTCGACGCGGCGGCGGAATTTATGCGACTCGCCAGCAGTTTCTCCACCGCCCGCGCCCAAGAAGCGCAAGCAAGTGTGCGTGTGCCCGTCGCGGTTTGGCGGCTCGCCTTGCTCCCATTGCGGCGGGCTCGTCGGCCTCTGAGCGGAGCCGAGCGGCGCGCCCGCCCCAGCTCGCGGCGAGGAGGAGAGGAGAGGAGAGGAGGATAATAAGGAGGAGAAGGAGGACGCAGCACGGCTTTAATTCAGGCCGTTGTTGCGATGCATGTTGTTAAATATCAATGCCAATCGGCATCGTCCGATGTCCGCTAGTTGGCGCAGCAAGCACGCTGCTGTGCGATCGCTCGCCCTGCCTGCGAACACAGCTTCTCCTCAGCATCCTCCCCGTCTTCTTGCTGCGTTCCCTGGAATACATGCAACAACAACAGCACGTCGTTGTGGTGTTGGCCACCTCCAGCTTTTGGTGGTGGGTAGTGCAACATTTTAGTTTTGTATTTTGTGCGAGTGTACATGTGTGAGAATCGTCACATGAGTACGTCCGTAGAAGTAGTATAGTAGGGGCTGCGTCCGTTGTCGTCGTGCGGCGCGAGGCGGGCAAAAATCGAAAAATCGATCGATTGTGCATTATTATCACGACCAGAGCCGCCATCATCATCGCACCATCGTCCGTTGATGTTCGTCATCATCACCATGTCTCGCCGCGTTACCCATCGCGCCATCGCCGTCGACGTCGCGTCGTCGTCGTCGCCGGGGGGAAGGAGGAGGAGCAGGGGTCAGCGAGGGGCAGAGGAGGAGGGATGACGAGGGAGGACGGACACAATGAAAATAGGGAGGGATAAGGAGGGCTGGAGGAGGACAGGGGAGCGACGTGTTAGAAGCGGCAAGCGGGGATATGATGAGGCGGGGCAGCCTTCTTCTTCTGCTTCTTACGGAGCGGTCCAGGACAGCTCAGGCAGTAGTAGGCGATCGTCTCCTCGGGGCGCGGGCGGTTGAACGCATCGTCCGAAGATCTGATTTTTCAGCCCCCATCCTGAGAGGCCCCGACACCATCGCTGGTGATAATTTCTTGCCTGGGCCAGTTTACGTCGACGTCGTGGGGGAATAAAAAAACATACCCCAGGGGGTTGGCGAGCGCGTCGACCCCCTCCCCCCCTCCCCTACTCCTCCTCCTCACCATCTGACTCCTCCTACTCCCCCCCATCCCCCCCGTCCTCTCACCCTCCTCCTCATCCCCCCCATCCCCCCCCCTGACTGACCCCCCCTCCTCGTGGGCCCCTGGGCGCCTGAGGGGGAAGTGAGGCGACCTGGAGGAAGGGCATCGCCCTTGTTGTTGCGCATCAGTCGCTACTGCTATTCTATTATGGTGCTGCTACTGCCCCCCCCCCCTCGCTATCGCTATCGCCCCTCGCTATCGCTATTGCCTCTCGTCATCGATATCGCCCCTCGCTATCGCTATCGCCCTCGCTATCGCTATCGCCCCTCGCTATCGCTATCGCCCCTGCTATCGCCCCTGATATCGCTATTGCTATCGCCCCTCGCTATCGCTATCGCCCCGTACCACCATCGCTATCACGCCTCGCTATCGCCCCTTGCTATCGCTATCGCCACCCCTGTTGAGGGGCGCTTCTGAATCAGGGCAGGCCCTCAACAGACCCTTGCGCAAGGGTCTGTTGAGAGCTTCATCGCTATCGTCACGGCTGCCCATCGCTACCGATGCCTGACCTCGCTATCGCTATCGCGCCTCAATATCGCTATCGCAGCTTGCCGCCGCCGCCACGCGTCGCTAGCGCCCCCCTGCCTGCTGAGGACCGCCGGGTCTGTTGAGAAGAGGGCGCGCGAGGGGGGGGGATGACGCAGCAGACGGAGCGTGGTGACGACGATGAATGATGAGCACGACGACGCGATGGTGGATGACGATTGGTAGCGACGATGGTGAGGGGTGATAGCGATAGCGAGGGATGATAGCGATAACGAGGGGGGTGGTAGCGATAGCGATAGCGAGGGATGATAATGATAGCGATAGCGAGGGGCGATAGCGATAGCACGGGGCGATAGCGATAGCGAGGGGCACATGTTACGCAGCGATAGCGAGGGAAATGGGCGGTAGCGAGGGGGTCTCTCAACAGACCCTCGCGCAAGGGTCTGTTGAGAGCCCCCCGCTGAGCGCTGGGCGCGCGCACCCTACAGGGCCAACAGGGTCCAGACTGTTGAGACAGAGTCTGGAATGTCGGCTCTCTCTCAACATACCCTTGCGCAAGGGTCTGTTGAGAGTAAGTGCGTTTTGGCTCTGCTGCTCAGGAGGGGCTATGTTGAGATAGAGACCTATACTGGCGCGCGCCCTCAACGTGGGCGCCTGCTCCTAACAGCTTGATTCCGACATTCCCTCAACAGACCCTTGCGCAAGGGTTTGTTGAGCCAGACTCCGAATGCCGAGGTCGCTCTCAACAAGAGGGTCGTCCCGGTTCCTGGAGAGTGCGGCTGCCACTGGGACCTTAAGCAGTGCGTCTCTTCCTTCTCCTTGTCCCTCTCCTTCCTCCCCTTTCTTATTTTGTCTCTGCCTCTGTCTCTCTGTTTGCCTCTCTTCTCTCTTCTCGCCCTGCGTGTCTTTCCCCCTCTGCCCCCCCCCCTCCCCGCCTTCAACCTCGCCCCCTTCTTCCGTCTCATATGTTTATCCATCCTCCTCCCATGTTGGCGGTCGTCATCCTCTTTCTTTGGCAGCTTGACTCGGCTCCACCGAGCTCAGTCAATCGCGACAAGAATCGCTGCGAGCTCGCAGCACCCAGCTCACGGAATAAATTCACTCACACCACCTCGCGCTGCATCCATGGCGCCCAAGGGAAGCCGCGGTGCTGCTGTCAAGAAGATCACGGCTGCTGGCAGGGGCCGCGGTGGGCGCGGTGGCAGGGGCCGCGGCGGCGGGGCGGCGGCTGCTGATCCTGATGTCATCGTGGCCCCTCTGGAGCCGGCCGAGATCCAGAAGAAGACGATGAACGCCGACTACAATGCGAACATTCAGGAGCTCGTGAAGACGATCACGGACCACCCGGTGTTCGCCAACATCCAATCTTTGGACCCCTTGCCCATCAACCGCGAGGTGCCGGACGGGGGCGGGGTTGGTTTTCAGGTCGCCTTTGACCAGGCCTTGTGCGACGCCGCGATGGCCACTGCGAAGCAGTACCAGTGCGGCGCCAACATCTTCTGGGCCGACTGCTTGAATGTAGCTGCAAAGGGGGTCCCCTGCCGGCATCGGACGACCGAGGCCCTGGCGGAGTTCCTCTACCCGGATGGCGAGGCCCCCGGGTACTACGAGGGGATCATAATTGTGAACGTCTCTGGCGGCAAGGTGGACAAGAAAGACCTGGGCACCTACGGCTTGATCTCCCCAGAGGAGGCTGTCCACGCGGCCTACTGGGCGCGCGCCAGAGACATCCGCGCCGGAAAGTCCGACGATGTCCTCGCCGCCTGGAAGACACTGTTCCTGACAGTGACCATGAAGTTCACCGCCTACGATGATGATTTAATTTTTTTCAAGGCCAAGACGCTCAGGAACACGATCGTCCAGGAGCACGATTCATTGGCCAGGACAGCGTTCCAGGAGGTGTGCGAGATCGCCAACCTGAAGGCGCAGCTGGAGCAATCCAATGGCAAGGAAATCAGCGCTGGCGAACTCGTGGAGTTGTACAATACGAAGTCGAAGCGCGCTGATAGCCAGGAGGAGATTACATTTTCTTTCGTGGACTCCGCGCTCACCGTCTGGAGCAGGGCGCTCAGCATTCCGAGCGTCTTGCACGCAGTTCGCCAGCTGGACGAGTCCCATTCTCACCGGTCGCTCTTCGATTCGATCACCAAGCTCCAGACCATCGTCTCCAAGGCCAAGACCGAGGAGAACATCGAGTACGTGTTCTTAGCCCTGGCTGACGCCTTCATCCACAAAATGATCGTCACCCTCCCCCTGCGCGAGCTGCAGGGCTATGGGGCCGGGCAGATGGGCAAGGGCGTCATCGACGAGGTGCTGTTCAAGAGGGACGTGAAGCAGTGGATGCGCCAGGAGTGGCTCACGAGGCTGAGCCGAAATCCATTCGGAAGTCTCCCCTCCTCCTCCTCCTCCTCCTGCTTCTCCTCCTCCCCCTCCTCTCTCCAACTCCCCCTCCACTCGTCCACTCACCTCCTCCTCCAACAACTCCTCCCCTCTCAACTAACTGTCCCCCGCAGGCTGAAGGCCATCACCAACGCCGAGAAGGACATCATCCGCGACGTGACGCGTGACTTCGCCACGATGCGCGAGAAGTGCGGGTGCCGGTCCATGGACAATTCTCACGTCGATATCACTTGGCAGGCCGAGCTCGGCAAGCCCGCCCTCGCGGCGCTGGAGCTCTTCGAGGACCGCCGACGACGGCGGCGACAATGACCACAACCCCCCTTATCTCTCTCTCTATCTCTCTCTCTGTTGTCGTCTTCGTATCCTCATGGGTCACCCTCATCATCTTCTTATTGTCATTCCTCCTCATCCTACCTCCTCATCCCATCTCATGCATTTCTATGCTCTTCCACCTCCTCATCATGTCATCCTCCTTTTCCTCCTCCTTCCTCTTCTCCTCATCCTCCTCTCCTCCCCCTCCCTCCTCCTCCTCGCGTTGCCCCCGTGTCCTGCTCCTCCGCATCCTCATCCGCCCATGCCCCCGTGATTTTTTCTTCCATGCACCAGGGCGCCGTGTACAGCGATGCCCATTCCGAGAGCTTGGCGGACGCCATGCGGAAGCGCAAAACCCCCGAGGACGCGGCCAACCACGGCAGTCTGAAGGGCGCGTTCCAGGTTGTGGACGACGCCGTGGAGGTAGAGATCCAGAAGTTGAACGACGCGGAGAGGGAGGCGCAAACGACCAAGATTGTTGACGCGGCGGCCATCGAGAAGGCCAAGGCGGACGCGGCCGAGCCCGGGGAGGAGGACCCCATCGACAAGGCGATCGTCATCTTGAGGTCGACGGGGCTCGACGCCGAGGCGCTGGGCCGGGTTAGGACGAGCCTCTCGTCCGACGACGTGGATCGCGTCGCCAAGAAGCAAGACGAGGCGTGGCGGCTGACTCGGACCTTCGCCACGCTCATCGTGGAGGCGAAGTCCGAGGAGGCGATGCACCAGGCGTTGTCCGAGACCGCAGTGGCCAGACTGCGCGGAACTCGCGAGGTGTTGCTGGCGGGTGGTGAGGGGGGGGGAGGAGGGGGGGAGTGGTGGGAGAAGTAGAGGGGGGATGAGGAGGAGGAGCAGGCGGACGATGGGGGAAATCATGAGACGGGGGGAATGACGAGGCGGAGGGGACTGAGGAGAAGGAGGAGAAGAGGTAGAAGAAGGACGAGGAGAGGGGGATGATGGGGAGAATAATGAGGAGGCGGCAATCCAAATGTTCCCGACATTTATATTTCGGATCCAGGGGCCCCACGTTTACCTTGGATCCCAAACCTCTGAACACCAGGACCTGTCATGGAAACTGCGACGTTTTCGCCCTGCCAACGTCGCAAGGCTGGCGAGTACATCCTGGTGCTGGACGACGTCAAGCTCGCTGGCGAGGCGACGTCAAACCCCCACGTCAGGAGCTCTGTGCCAACGAACGAAGACGGAAAGGCAGATTTGAAGAAAAAGGAGGATGGCAGGCAGGAGAAGGATGACGACGAGGAGAATGAGAAGGGAGAAGAAGGAGACGGAGAAGGGGGAAATGAGGAGGTGAGATGCCGCTGGCTGGGGGGAGCCTGAGATGGGGGCGACGGCGGATCGAGCTGAGCTGGCCCGCCGCCGCTCTCCTCTTGCTCCTCTGCATCCTCCTCCTCCTCCCCTTGCCCCCCTCCTCTCCCCCCATCCGATCCATCTCCTCCTACTCCTCCTGGTCATTTCCTGCCCTCCTCATCATCCTTTCTTCATCCTTCCTCCTCCTGGTCCTTCTCCTCGGGGGGGAGACCCCGTGCCTCTTCTGGGTTGCCATTGTCGTCGTCGTCGTCTTCTGTCTGCGTCGTCGCCCCCCCTGCCGCGGTCGGTCCCCGAGGATCGCGCCGTTCTCGGTGGCCCGCACCAAGAAGCTGTTCACGGCGATCCTGCGGACGCGGGAGGCCGGGCCCACGGAGATCCCGCAGGACATGGCGTTCATGTGGCACGATGGCTTCAAGAGAGGCCTTCCTCCTACCCACCCCCTCTCATCTGTCGTCCTCGCTTCTTCTTCTTGTCCTCAATATCCGTCGTCGCCCTCTCTCCTTGTTCCCCCTCTTCTTTGCCATCTTTGTTTCGTCATCCATCTCGCCCCCCCCTCTCCCTGCTCCTTATCCTCACACTTCTCCCCCCCCCTCTCCCCATCGCGTCGCCCTCCCCATTCGCCCTGCCCTCCTCGTGCATCATCTCCTGTTTGCGTGCCCCGCGCAGGCAACGAGGGCCACGCTGCGAACGTGTTCGTGGACGAGACGGGCGCGAAGCCCCGCCAGATGCGCAAGGAGACGCGCCGCCTCAACATCATCTACTCGGAGGAGTGCTTCAGGGACCGGCTCAACTTAGTGCGCGGCAGCTTCTCGCAGTTGGAGACGGCGAGCATTTGGACGCAGAGCCCGCTCGAGATCCCCGAGCGCAGGAGGAACCACTTCAACGGGCTGAGCAGGACCAACCGAGGCGACAGCATCGGCCCGATGATGTTCCAGACGTGGGCTTCCACGTGGCACGAGGAAGCTTCCGTGAAGCGCCAGATGTTGAGTGGCCACCGCATTGAAGTGGGCGGCCCCTGCGAGGGGGCGGGCCCTCTGCCGCGCGACGCCGCGGGCAAGGAGCCTGTGCTCTACCATGTGATGCCGGTGCAATACTACGCGATGCTGCTCGAGGATCTCCCAGTGCGCGCCACCATCGACTGCAACGCGGGCGTGGGGAACGCGGCCAAGGCGCACGTGTGGGCCCGCAAGCAGTACGTCGGGATTTGCTTTACTGAGCTGCACGCCAACAAACTCTACGATCAGATATCCTCGGAGATCTTCAACGGCTTCATCGACGAGAACAACCCCCTGTACGACCCGGCCTTGGCCAAGGTCGCATCGACCGTTGCGAGGCCTACTGCTGCCCCGAAGCCCAAGCTCAATAAGAACACTTCCGAGAACAAGAACACCGAGGGCGAGGGCCAGCCCAGGGAGGGCGAGCAGCCGGCGAAGAAACTGAAGGGGGGCAAGAAGAGGGCTGCCGACGGTGGCAAGACGGATCCAGCAGCAGGCTCGCCCAAGAAGAAGGCCAAGAAGGGGGGGAAGGCCGCTGCTGCTGGGTCCAAGGCTGCCCTGATGGACATGCTCGACAACCTGAAGGGCGCCGATGGCCAGGAGGACGAGGACCTCGAGGAGGAGGACTCCATGAGCGACGGCGAGGAGGAGTGAGTGGGGGGGCCAGCGACGCCAGTCAACGCTGGCTACCACCAGGTCATCATGGTTGTCCTGGGGACTGCTCGATATCAATCGGCAATGGCATTCACTCAATATTCCGTTCACGCGCACGCGCACGCCACAACGAGCTTGATATTGAGCGGTCGTTTTCTGCTTAGTAGGTGCGCGGCCGTCTTGCCCCTGACCCCTCCTCCCTCGCGCTGCCGGGCCTTGCCTCCTCCTTCCCCCCCCCATCCTCCCCCCTCCCCTTCCCCTCGCCCTCCCTCCTCCCTCTCGGCCATGCGCAATGCCATGCGCTGCCCGGCTAGGCTGCGGGCGCGAAAACCACTGGCCGACGACCCTCGCGGCGAGTCAACCGTGAGCGGTGGTCCGCGGGACGATCCAGAAAATCCAGGAAATCGCGCCAGATCCAGGAGCCCGTGGTCAGAGATCGCCAAGGGAAGATGGGGGGGGGGGATAATAATAATAGTAATAATTTTAATTGTAGCCGAAGCAACCGCCACGATCATCAGCATCATTATCATCATCATCATCAGCATCATCGTTATCATCATCATTATCATCATCATCATCATCAGCATCGTAATCATCGTCAACATCGTCATCGTGATCGCTCTCGTTACCATCGTCACTGCTCTAAGGAGTCGCTGCCCCTGGCCCCCGCTCGGTCCTGGCCCAGCCGCCGCAGCCGGCGGACTGTGCGCCATCATGGGGAAAGCAGCCCCTGCAGCCGTGGCTTCGGCGCAGAAGGGGTGCGTCCGGAAGAGGCCAGCAAAGAAGGACCACGGATGGAACGAGGAGGGAGAGGAGAGGCAGCCCGCTGATCCTCCTTCCCACCCCCTCCTTTCCTGGCATTTCCTCCCGTCTTCTCCTCCCCCTCCTGCTCTTCCCGTTTCTCCTCCCCCCCTCCTCGTGGAGGACATGGGGGCGGGCAAAGAGGGGGGGGAGGGGAGGGGGGGGGGGGGCGGGGGCAGAAGGGGGGGGGAGCAGGGGGGGAAGAAAAGGGGGTGGGCAAGGAGGTAGGTGGATGAAATGAGGAAGAGGGGATAAGATTGAGGAAGGAAGAAGGAGGAGCAAACGAGGAGGAAAGAGGAGGGAAATCCGGTTTTTTCCTTCCCTTCCCCAAGAAAAAAAAAAAAAAGAAAAAAAAAAAAAAACAAGAAAAAAAAAAAAAAAAAAAAAAAAATGAACGGGGGGAGGCCCCCATGATGATGTCCCTCGGAACCGCTTTCGCGGGGATGGACACCCCGCACTTTGCCTTGAAGGCCCTCGGGTTGAAGTTCAGGCACGCCTTTTCAATTGAATGGAGCCGCCCTTGCCAGGACGTGATCCGCCAGAACACGCATTGCGAACGCTTGCATGATGACATCACAAAAGTTTCCATGTCCGACCTTGAACACGTAGATCTCTACGTCGCTGGCTTTCCTTGCCAGCCCTGGTCTTTGCAGGGCAAGCAAGAGGGAGAGGGCGATGAACAGGGGAGGGGCCATATGGGGAAGTATTGCACCAAGTACATTACCGCGCACGCGCCCAAGATATCCGTACTTGAAAATGTTCCAGCGCTGATGGAGAATGACAAGTTTCGCCCGTTTTTGATGAAGATGGTCGCCTCTATCAAACGCACAGGCCAATACAAAACATATTTGAAAGTGTTGGATACTAGCGAGCATGGGATCCCCCACAGCCGGAAGCGGATGTATCTGATTGGTATGCGTTCGGACTTGGTGCAGGACGAGTTCGACCCCTTCCCTGAGCCCATTGATACGATTCCTCTCAAGACGCTGCTGGACACAAAAATTCGTGGCCAAACTTTAGATATTCCTAGTGGTCAGACGGCCCAGCGTAATCTCAAGGACGCGGTCGCGTCGATCGTTGCCAAGGGTGACAACCCACACAGATCATTGTACGTGGTCAACCTCGGTAACTCGACAATGCGCACGATGAAGGAGAAATATTTGACGCTTCGCGTAATCCCCACCTGCGGGTCTAGACAGACGCGCTGCCCAGGCGAAAGGTAAAATGGTGGAGGGGGGGGGAGGCGAGTGGTTTCCCAAAGTGCCGCGACGACGGGGGAGGGACGAGGGGTGATGATCCGAAGCAACAGGCAAGGATGAACACGAGAAAGATAAGAGGGAGGAGGCGATCATCAAAAGATGGGGGAAATCATCTTGGAGCCATTGGGGGCCATCTCGGGCGGTTTCAGAGGCGTGAGGCCATCCGGGGCTGCGTTTTTTTCGTGGGGGCTCACGCCGCGCCCTCGAGGGCTTGACCGATTCCCGTGCATCACAAAGAGTCGTGGATACCAGTTCGCGTTCTGGATCACCTCGCTCCACCGGAAACCCACGGTCTCAGAATTCCTGCGTCTCCAAGGCATCCCCCCAGGCAGCTTCAAGCGCAAGGGCGTGTCCGACAGCCAGATTGGATCGATGGTGTGCCTCCTCTCCTTCTCATCCCCTCCCCTCCTTCTCCTCCCCCTCCTCCTCATCCTCTCCTTCTCCTCCCCCTCCTTCTCCTCCCCCTCCTTCTCCCCCCCCCCTGCCCCTCTCACTCCCCCCGCTCCTCCTCCTTCCTCCTCCTCCTGCTCATCCTCCTCATTTCCTCTCCGTCTCCTCCCCCCCCCCCTTCTCCTCCTCTCTCCCCTGGGCCAGGCCGGTCCTGCCCTGCCACTGATGCCCGCAGCAATTACGCGCACCAGTGCGACCCTGCCTAGAAAGTGGAGCCCCCAGGAAAGCAGCATTAGTTGCTATGCTATGCTATGCTACGCTAGGCCATGCTATGCTGCGTTATGATATGCGATGATATGCTATGCTATGCTATGCTATGCCATGCTATGCTATTATATGGTAAGCTATGCGATGCCATGTTGCGCTGAGCTATGCTAAGCTATGGTATGCTATGCGATGCTAAGCTGCGCTCTGCTCTGCTATGATGCTATGCTATGCGATGCTGCGCGGTGCTCTGCTGTGTTGTGCTGAGTTGCGCTATGCTGTGATGCGCTGTGCTGCGCTACGCTGTGTTTCTGGGCTTTGCTATGATATGCTGCGCTGCGCTGTGCTGTGCTACGCTCTGCTATGCTATAGTGTGCTCTGCTTTGCTTAAGCTCAGCGAAGCTAAAAAAATGAAGGTACGCTGAGCTAAGATAAACCTGAGCTAAGATGAAGCTAATGAGCTAAGATGAAATTAGCGAAGCTAAGATGTTAGAAGGAACGCTAGGCTAAGGGCACGTCGCTGGGGGGGCCGCGGAGCGGATGCCGGGGGAACCGCCCAGGGGGGCGTTTTGCACTGCCCGGCTTTTTGAGCACACCGAGTAAGAACCCTTCTAGGCAGAGCCTAGGTCGTCGAGCCCACTGTCCGTGGCAGCTGTTTTTTGGGGCAAAGCAATTTTCGTTCTGCTCGCGCCCCCCCCGCCGTGGCTCCGCGAAGTCGCCATGGACCAGCGCCGGTCGCAGCCATGCCGGCTGGTGGCTGCTGGCCAGCGCGACCAAGACATGTTGGTGGTGCAGGCTCCCCCGCCGTTATTCCGGCACGAGTCGTCCGTGCCCGTGTTCTGGGTGTCGCCGCGGGGCCACGGACTTCTGGGTCAAGTGCACGTCACCCACGCGCATATGTTCAGCTTGGCGGACCATCGCGAGTTCCTCTTCTGTGCAACGTGTGGTCACTACTGGCGTCATCACGGCGGGTACCACACCGCCGGGTTGCGCAAGCCGTGCGTTGGCGAGGCGACGGCGGGGTACCGCAGGATCAACGCATGCAAAAATTATCAGGACACACCCCCGCCCGCGCAAGTCGGTTCGAGAAAGAGGAGGAGAGATGGAGAGGAGGAGGAGGAGGAGGAGGAGGAGGAGGAGGAGGAGGAGGAGGAGAAGAAGGACAAAGAGTGAGGGCGAGGACGGGCCCCGACCGAGGACAATCCTCGACCGCTTCCACCGCAACCAGAGCCCCGACGGCGGCCCTTGGCCGCCGCCTCCTGTGATGACGCCGCCTTGTCGCGCGCCGCTGGTGCAGTCCCCCCCGCCGCTGGTCCCCCGCCGCTGGCGCAGCCCCCCGCCGCTGGTGCAGCCCCCCTGCGACGACGAGGAGACGTCGTCGCCGTCGCAGGAGACGACGGATTATTGGTCGGCGTATTCGGCTGCCGCGGCAGCGTCGGCCAGCAGCAGCAGCGGCAGCAGCGTCGGCGGCAGGGCGCCGCCGCTGCTGGGAGGAGGGGCAACATCCTCGCCATCTGAGCCCGCCGTGGTGACGCCTCCGCCTGCCAAACTCCGCCGCGTGAATGCGTCGGAGGACCTCGGCAAGCCCCGAGGGCTTCGAGGCGGCTAGGAGGAGAGGAGGAGAAGAAGAGAGGATCAGGAAAAGGAGAAGGAGGAGGAGGAGAAGAAGGAAGGAGGGAGAGGCGCAGCAGACCCTTTTGAAGTCAATGTTGGCCAATTCATTCCTACGTTGTTGCGTTCCACGTCCCTAGGCACTACCGCCGAGTAGTGCGCGCTGCCGCCATGTGGTTTGGCGGCGGTGGAGTTCAGCAATCAGTGAATAGAATGGCCAGCAAGCCAGTGAATAGAATCGTTGGAATCGCCTAGCTTGCCCCAATGGTGGCTCGTGGCGTAGGCCCGTGCCTCGCGACCAACATTCCGTGGCGCATAGCGCGTTGCGGCACGGCGTGAGTTGAGCATCATCATCTTCAACATCAACATCGTCATCAACATCGCCACGTCCGTCATCATCAGAGCTGGCCCCCAAAAGGAGAGAAGGAGGATACCCCCACTTCGCGCTGTCGCTTACCCCGTTCCCCTCTTTCTTCTTTAACTCGTTGGCACTATTCTCCTGCTCCACTGCATGACTCATGTACTGCCCCCTGCTGCTACTCAAGCTCGACCTGCTACTCTGTTTGCTTGCCCCCCCCTCCCCCCCCGTTACTACCTGGCATCGCCGTCGCCTTCTCAGACCACCCCTCCTTTTCCTCCTCACCTTTTCCCTCTTCTTCCTCCTCTCCAGCCCTC